TAAAAACTTCATATTAAAAAAGACTTTAAAATACGCAAAATACACCATCCTGAAATCGAGCCCAATGATTATATGTATATAAGAGTCCATTATTGCTTTGACATTTAGGTATTCTTTCTTTTAAAAAAATACACATAAACACACTCTCACATGGATAGTTATCTCTATAAACGAGTTTTTTTTTTTACGTTTGAACGAGGAATTAAAAAAGTAGGTGTAAAACTCAATCATGATAGGTACTTGTAAAAATCAAAATTTCAATATGGCAGGAATAAAAGATTTCAGAAATTTGAACATGTCAAAGTCAAGTATATTGAAAACAAAACACACTCACGGACGGACAGTCATATCAGCTGTAATGATGAGTCAACAACATAAAATTGGGGCTATATCTTCAAACCGACTGGACAACGATCCACCCATATAGACATGATCCCCTCTAATGAACGACTAATAGACGTATATACTGTTTGTGATCTTTGATAGGAGTCATTAAAAATTTTATTTCCCCTTTATAAGTATTCTGATTTAGGTAGCCAAACAAACAGTTAGAAGATAACGTTGACGTGTTTGCACAGTTCTAATTGTCTGTCGGCATAAGCGCTGACGAGCGTTATCGTGGAGACTTCACGAGCGCACGTGCAGTCCCGAGTTTGATGGGATAACATAGCCGAATTTTCTCGCTGTTATCTGAAAATCGTAATTTTGCACCTTACTGTCTTGTTTCAAATTTCTTTAATTATTAGACAAACATTTTAAAAATCCACTTGGCATTTTAAATACTTATCACCAAACTTTCTTCGAGTGACAAAAATCTACCGCATCTTACTCTCTGATTTAAACTAGAGACCTTCAAAAAGTACCAATCTAACAAATATTCTTCAATATTTGACATTCTGCGTCGAAAAAGGTCCAACTATGTCCAAGCAAATTTTAGGATGCAATGATAAGGCACCGTTGAGAGGAAATATATATCAATTCCTGGGAACATGAACGATTCCGAGTACTATTTCCGTTTATTGCCTATGTGAGATACCATACTTAACCTCACCGACCTTTAAATAGCTGCAACTTAGTTTGTATATCCCCCTTGGGGACCCAAGGACAGACAGACCTGAGTTGACGGGTCACATCCCACCAATACAGCCATAAAGGGAAATAATTAAAAGACATAGTGACCCAAAAATCGCAAGGAAGACCTAGAAGTCTATTGCAAGAATGAAGAAAGGATTACCACACAAAGGCCTTAACCTTAAACGATGATACATATATTTTTTCAGAAGTTTCAACTTGTAAACTTTGGGTTCCAAGAAAAGAAGGGGGAAAAAATTAATGTCTTGAAATTTTCACTATCTATGGAGATATTTCTTGTATCAAACTACACGTTTACTTTGATAGAGTGTAACATATGACCCCTGTAACTCATTGCTTTATACATTCTTTTTTTTTTATTCTTTTAAAGACATTTTTCTGGCTGAATTTTCACCAGTGGGAAAAAAACCTATATCAAGACTCTTTTTACATGATTTACTTTTCACCCCCCCTCCCCCCCCCAAAAAAAATCTTATGGTAAGTGGATTACCAAACATTGCAGCTCCTATATTAGGAACATATTCTATTAATGATGAATCAATTTTTAGGGCCTAATTCTAATCAATGAATCTACTTATACGTGTAACATTATTGCCTTACATGCACGTATGGATATAGAATTTTTTTTCTTTGATGCAAAATCTTCTAATAAAATTAGAAATCCCAATTCTCGAAAAAAAAAATCACTTAAATATGGCTTCTTTTTATTTATTCTTTTTTTTAAAAGAACTAATATTAGTTATCTTAGAAAGAGTGTAAATAGCAATTATGTAATGTATTTAGTTCGGAAAATGTTAATGAAAGTTAAAGCGGTGGGAGGGTGATAGCGCCGAGGAGGACAAGGAAATAATTGGCTTCAGAAAGATTAACGACTTTTGATGAAAATATCTTATCATGACAACAGAGAAGATAATATAAAAAGTAAATATCTCTACTGGTGAAAAATTATCATCTTAAATGTTAAGACGGGATTCTAAAAATGAGGAATTGTTATCTATCTATTAAGAATGATAAAGTTTGAATATAACTTGTCGATCACCAAAAAATGTGTAAGAAAAATATTTACCAAAAAATGTGTAAGATATAACACCGTTATTAATTTATCTGACTTTTAGAGAACTAGGTATCATAACAGATACCCATCAATTGCCAGGTTTTATTATTTATTTATTTATTTATTTATTATTATTATTTTTTGTTAATTTATAGCAAATTAATGGCGTTCAATGTCTTATTCTTTCAGGTCAAGGTACTGTGAGGTCAAATTTTGACTCCCATTCGGCACATTGTACGTTACATTTCAGAAATGTACCGGGTAATTGCATTTTGGCAGATGATATATCTTGCAATATTTTAAAGAAAACTTTACAGATAATAATCGTAAAAATTTATTTTAAAAAATATGGCAATTTAAACAAAATAGTCACTTTTTTAAAATGCCATCACTTAATTTAATGCTCACTTTTAAAAAAGTTTGGTCTAAACAATCGCACTGTTTTAAGAGTCTTCACGAAAAGGGACCGGAAAACCCCTTAATTGTACCTTGTTCCTTGTATTCATATGAAACCTTTATATAACAATTAAACGATACACGGCTAGAAGTAGAAAAGAGGGGCAGGCAAACATCTCTCTCTCTCTCTCTCTCTCTCTTCCAGATTTACAGACTTCATGATTGGACAAACCTTCAATGAACGTCATTTTTTTTCAAATGGAAATACCGGTATGTCATGAAAAATTCACTTTTAATTTAAGCATATGGATATCACTGTAACGAACTTAGATCTAAAGATTCTATATATTACATGGAAAGAGAAGTGTTTTATTTACCAATTTCATGAGTTTGACGTTATGAGTTTGTTTTCAATTTTAAGAAACATTTTATCATATTTAATTTTCCATGCAGAACAAAGCAGCAATTTTGAAAGATTTAATTAAGGCAACCAAACACTTTTATATGTATAAGATTTTGAAAAGATATAACTCTGTATATGAACCGAAATATGATAAAAAGGAAGAAAGGAACCAAAAATTGACCTTTAAAAGATCGCGGTCATTTGGCCACCATCCTTTGAACTTTACATAATGTCTACAGATGACCGTAAATTCACCGAAAATGAAAAGATAACATCAAAATGGAATTGACATAAAATACAATTTCTTATTAAACGATAAAACAATCAATGGAATAAAAACTGGCTCTCCTTAATTTGGTTTTAAGAAAGTGTGAGATAACATTCATATTCACTAATCAAACTTTGATAATGGAAACAATATAACTTTAAATCCTCTAACAAAATCGTCATATTCCATTTGTGATGAAAATTGTTAGACTTTGGCGAAGTTTTCAAAGAAAAATGAAACACTTTGAAGAATGTTAAAAATATAAAATATAGTTTACTCAACATTGGAATCGTTATTTGCATTTCCAAATGCATGGCGCTGAAATGTATACAAGTGTGTATCCCAGTGGTTCTTCGAGTGGGTTGAAACCACTTCATGTAGGAAAATCAACCAATGATTAGAAAGAATAAAACGTTTTAATGAACAATTTATGGGGGAAAATTACATCCTCTTACAAAATCGGCATAACAAATTTTTTGATGAAAATTGTTAGATTTTGATTGAAGCGAGGTTTTCAAAGAAAAATGAAACACTTTGGAGAATGTTAAAAATACAAATATAGGAGTCTCGAATTTGGAATCGTTATTTGCATTTCCAAATGCATGGCGCTGAAATGTATGCGTGTATCCCAGAATTTGACAAATGGACCCAGTGGTTCTCTGAGTGGGTTGAACACACTTCATGTATGAAGATCCACCAATAATTGGAAATTAAAGAATAAAACGTTTTATTGAACAATTTATGGGGGAGAATTACAATAAAGATAGGTAAGATGGGATGCTCTTTTCAAAGTCTCTTGACAAATAAGAACTCGAAAAAAGAAACTGTTACACTGGTTATAACATATAATATCCCAAAGCCTTAAACAACAAATGCTGACGTACTGTCTTAAGACAGCAACAGGGAATTCTGCTTCTCGTTCTGTTTTCTTTAACGAGCTAATTTCAATCAAACTATGGGTCGTGCGAGATCGACCCGCTGTTTGGATATTACACAGAAATAAAATGCTTTATTTCTTCATGAAAACTCTCCTGAAGTGGGTAACAAAGACGACCAGAGGAGGTAATTTGCTCCTCGCTGTGGTCTCTTGTCGGTTTTCATTCACAGACAAAAATACAGACCATCGATCATAGATCAATGTGTTTACTTATGACAAGTTGGCCGGAAGAATTAACTGTTTGTGCTTTTGTAATAAGCGCTCTGTTGATTTTAACATTCCGCCACTATATAGCGCAGGTATTTCATGTACAGTAAATGTATATAGATTTTTTGGTACTTCGTCTAAATTTAAAGGAAATTAAATATAGAATCCATGAAAATGCACAATGAAATGAATTTATTAAAGAAAGAAAAATAAACTTTGTAACTCATTAAAAAAATGAAAATCATTTAATATACATGTATTCTACAAATTTAAATGTTGTATTGGAATCCTGTCTGAGAAGTTCCTTAAAAGTGTTTAATATGCAGTGTTTATTAACTTTGCACCTGTCAGTAAATCTTATCAATTTCCTCTTTGTTCAATAAAATCTTTAGTAATTTGTTTAATATATCGAAATGATTCATTAAGAAATAAAATGATACTGAAATTTGTTTATCATAAAAAAACCCCACCTAAATTGTAAGTCAAATCTTTAAACATATAAAACAAATTACAAAATTCAGAAAAGAACGGTAAGAAGTCGACAAGTTTTACAATAGATTCATTTAGATATTTGTGTGTATTTTGGCATTTTTTTCTTCAACCTTCTTGTTTTATCGATATTGTGTAAAACAACCACCCCTACCTTTACTCAATAGGGTCAAACTAAATGTGATCCACCACACTAGATCCTCGCCCATATCTAACAATGATAAACGATCCCCCGGTCACAGCAATTCCATGTTCTAATAACAGTTAATCCACCTCGTACATTGAGGTTTACAGTTTATAATTCTGGTTTGTTAACATTCCGGATCACAACATTTTTACAATCTGACAATCATAGAGAAAAAGAACACTGCGTGTTCCCGGATCGAGCGCCCCGCCTCTCTCACTACTGTTAAGTTTCTCACGGCGATTGACCAATGAGCGGGCACCTTGCCACTGAGTAAACATAATTCAGGTCGAAATGGCTCTCTTAAGTCTCCAAGGATCTGAGTTTTTCCCCATCTCGTCAAAATGTCACTCAGTTGTTAATTTCGAAACACAACTCATTTTTTTTAATTTGTAAATATTTCTTTTTTCTGTGGATATAAAAGATGCAAAATAATGTACTTATATCATATGCTGTGAATATGGCTTTTTCATAAAACTTTTCAAATAAAAAGTTGAGATTAAGGAATTTGTTGTTTTTCGGGAATTAGAAGTTTTTAAAGGAGGCCTCATACAAAAATTCATACCAATAATTCTCTACCGATTTTCATACATGGTTTTTTTGCACACATCATTAAAAATTCTATGCCGTCTTAAACATTTACACAGCATGCATTTTTAAAAGTCTGATAAAGATAAACAAGGCACGTTATAAAACAAAAATTGGTTAACAGAAAAAAAAATCACACTTCTATCTGTAAACTTCTTGTCAACATCTCTTCGTTATATCGTTTTTATTTTTATCCACAAGAGTGCAAACTTTCGCATTAATCTCCCCAAATTCATAATATTTACATATTTCAAAATTTTGATACAAACAAATGAATTGCATGAGTTTTTCTCAAGATGAACACAAGTGTCGCTGCTAGAGTTGACACGGCATATGAAGAGGTTTCGTCCTTCAGCAAAAAGCACGCGAGAGTAACCTTATCGTCTGATATCAATGACGGAAAAACACGCCACACAAACACTGCAACAAGGCCCCAGTGTTTCGTCTAATATTTGCATGTTCTTTTTTGACCCAAAACGTCAAATGAGAGGTTTGAAAAGAAGCTTACGACTCGTTACTGTTTTAATGAAGAGATGGAGAATTTGGAGAAGAGATGAGCCGCGAGATGATTGACGTGAACTGGCGAGATCTCGTGAAGAGCTTATGATTCAGACACTGGGTAACGTTTAGTTTTGACAAGAGGCCTGTCTGATACTGTATGAAACTGTCAAGTTGGAAGTATCCAAACTTAGAATCGAAGACAGTTAGACTTGAAAGGGGACCCTTTTTAAACTATCAAAGGCAATTTTTTTCTCCCAATCATGTGTTGCGCCAAAAGTCGTATAAGCGATATACATATAAAAATCTCATTTACATATATTGTGTACAATAAAAATGAGAAATAAAACAACTCTACTTGTCTAACACAAATTAAAAGATAACTGATTAAATATTATCTATACGGCGGAGCGCTCACGTTGCATTAGACACATTAGGAAATACATTTCTAGAGCTAAACATGTTAACAATTAACTGATAGTTTTAACAAAATTAGTGTTTTACAGAAGCATATCTTGGTAGAGTTTTCATTGATTTTTTGCTAAAGAACACAAAAAAATCCCGAAAGTCATAAAACAAAAATCAAACAATGTAAACGAGGAGTATAAAACCATCGCGATGAACCTGTACGAGCTTCCGGTGATGCTTTATCGAACACGCCTGTTATATATGTGTCGTACACTTCTTCCTCCACACTTCCTGTAATGTACCCAGACACACAGGGTCCCCTGACACAGGGGTTGAGGATCAGCGCGACAAGCCGATACAATTGATTTCGCTGTCCTCAGACGCCATATATCATGTTGTGTTAATGCCACTATTTGTAAATGTTTTGTCAATTAACGTCGTGTTAATCCAATCAGGAATTCGCTTTCCGTGCTTAAATTAGCCTTGCAACCTTCTATTCCCTTGTTTATGAGAACCAAGCAAAGTAACAATCTGTAGCAAAATTCAATATTAGAAAATGGCAACTAGAACGAAAATCACTCGCATTACCAAAAAATCCTTCGCTTAATAGACAAAATCTCAGAACAGAAATAGCCTCAATTAATATATAGCTAATTGCTTCTCAACCACTTGTTGCATATATAATAGTAATACATTGACTCTTCAAGTTTCAAAGACTTATAAACGCGTCAGGGAGTGGGGTGGCGGTGGGAGGCTGTCAGTTCCACTCTCAGGATAAGATATTACTACATAAGTAGAATACTACATCTCTTATATATTAGTACATATACTAGTACATGTATTAGGATAACTCGTGCTATACATGTATATAAGTAAACGAGCATCCATTACGTCACATATATACTAATGAACAAATTTATTTATCATGATCTTAAAGCTGTTCGCTCTGATCAATAATAAACTAAACAAGCTGAATGACAGACGTTGACACTGACGTTTACTGCGTCTTATATACACTAAGTTCCTTGTTCGTTTATTTGTGAATATGAAATAACCAGAGAGCGTATAACTCACGCAACATATCACCATGAAGAAACTGAAAAACAAGTTTACAGGATGCTTTCTCAAAGTTGTCAAAACATCGTTGCATGACAGTCAAGAGTTCTTGAGACCTTGGTAATACAGCTATGGTGAATCCTACCATGAAAAAATGACAGGGGAGATAATAGAAAGAGACAGGTGCCACTTGTTCATATTGACCAATCGATTGCAGGTTTACATCTGAGACTAGCACATGCTCTCAAGAGCCCGGATTGTAAATAAACGTATTAAGCATGCAACCGTAAATGAGGTATTGTGAAACATGACTCCGTCCTTGGACATCCGGTGAAACCGGTGCCGTTAATGACCAAATCAGTAGAGATTTGTAGTATGAGTAATACAGAGATTCCTAACAAAGAAATCGAGAGCAAAAATAAGGCTTAATAAAATGTATTAACAATGCATCATGCTTCACTTTTCCTGGGGGACAAGTCAATAATGACTTACGGAGCTGGCCTAACAGGTGTTATCGTTACAGAAAAGCGGGGATCAATGTTTAAAAAGAGGCATGGAACATTTATATAGAATTAGTCATGATTAGTGCTGTTGGAAGACATTTGATCCATAACAGAAAATTACAAATCGTTTCCGACTGGGGAAAAATGAGGACTGCAATTATTACCAAAGCATGGGATACATACATTGTACATATTCAAAAATTCAACAAAAAATTAAAATAATGTTTTATGGATATTATTACCAGAGAAGCTTAATTAATATAATTGTAGAATTCAAGGAGTCGGTGTTTGAGAGGAATTCTGCAATTACAGGTGTTTGAGATGAATTCTGCAATTATAGCGGCCAAGATGTCCTTCCACATTTTTAAAAGGCACCTATTATGATAGAACACTTTTTTACAAAGTAATATAACAGTATATTCTAATGAATACTTACATGTATCTGGTATATCGTTTAGCCGATATTCATTCTAAACAAATGTACCTGACAAGATAACAATAAGGAACCTGATACCTAGACAGAAAACATGCAAGATACATATATACCAATTGTGCAAAATCGTGACAATATATACAATAAGTACTAGAATTAAAAAAATATCATAGATATGTTTTTTTAATAAATGGACATGAAAAGTGGCAAAAAACCTGATAAGAATCAAGTTTTATATCTGATTAAAAAATGAACACAGTGACGGGACCACAGCATATATAGTAAGAAAACCAAAGCATATGATAATGGAACCACAGCATAACATAATAAATAAAAAAAAACAGCATATACTTACAGAACAACAGAATATATTAACGAAAACACAGCATATACCAACTTACTACTTCATCTAATAACAGAACTACAGTATTTAATAACAGAACCACGGCATATAATAACAGAACCACAGGATATAATAACAGAACCACAGCATATAATAACAGAATCACGGCATATAATAACAGAACAATAGCATATGATAACGGAACCACAGGATATAATAACAGAACCACAGCATATAATAACAGAACCACGGCATATAATAACAGAACAACAGCATATAATATCAGAACCACGGCATATAATAACAGAACCACAGGATAAAATAACAGAACCACGGCATATAATAACAGAACCACAGGATATAATAACAGAACCACAGGATAAAATAACAGAACCACGGCATATAATAACAGAACCACGGCATATAATAACAGAACCACAGCATATGATAACAGAACCACGGAATATAATAACAGAACCACGGCATATAATAACAGAACCACAGCATATGATAACAGAACCACGGCATATGATAACAGAGCCACAGTATATAATAACAGAACCACAGCATAGAATAACAGAACCACAGCATATGATAACAGAACCACGGAATATAATAACAGAACCACGGCATATAATAACAGAACAACAGCATATAATAACAGAACAACAGCATATAATAACAGAACAACAGCAAAAAATAACAGAACAATAGCATGTACTAACATGTCAAACAAGAAGATTGTGATATTCCATATTTAAAACCAAAGTGCTTTATCCTAAGCTTGAATCATGTATGTGCGCCTTTGTATTGTAGATAGTGTAGATTATCTAAAGCAGGAGTAAATGATTTTTTTAATATAAAAAATAGGAAAAAAAATAATATTTCCCATCCAGAGCGTTGATTTAATAAAAAAACCACCGAAAAATGATTTCACCGACATTATCAAAATTGGTATTTTTTGCTCTATTGGCATGGAATTCTCAAGTATCAATAATCCAGAATTTGCAGCATAATTGAACAACTTTTTGTAGCATTTCAGAATTAAATTTCTCAATGTCGCAGAATTTAACTAAAATCTCAATATCCCCCAGGATATTTAAGCTTGTCCTATCATTCCAAAAACCCTAGTGTGAGATTAAGCGACTAGAAATTAAAATAACGCATTAGAACTGTCCTAACGGAAGCGGAGATTAATCTGTTTAAAGCATTTCTCCCTCTTTTTCAATGTAAGACTGGTAAAAGGTTTTTAAGAGTTGTAATTAACTGTTCACTACATCTGTTTTTCTGAGTATTTGTGCGAATTAAATTTATAGCCTGAATCCTTGTGGAATATTTAATGTTCGTTTTCAGTAATGAAGTGATCGTTAAGAAGCAAAAAAAGGTGAGACTATACCCACGGGAGAGGTTTCTTTTCGTTGAATTTACTAATTCTCAGAAACAAGTTAGTTGGTCAAAGCATAACAGAGAAAAAGATATTTCTGAAAAAAGCTCACTGCTAAAGTCCTCCTTCGTATTGCCATCTACACATGCTTTCCATGTTTTTTTTTTCTTTTCATGGCTGTTGTACCCTCTTTCTACACGAGATTAATCTCTACAGAAAAAAAAAATCATTAAATTCATTTTCAAAAATGTTAATTTATAGATATGCATGTCAAATTCAATATAATATTTTCCTGTGCCATACGTAAACAAAATTGATATGCTCTGTGTTAGATAATCTAATTGACTTTCATGTACAACAAACATTTCCGCCAGCATTTTTTTTTTTTATCAAATATCAAAATTATATAATGTTCCTCGAAATACTGTCATACGCAGGCCCGTAGCAACGGTTGTAAAAGGGGAGGACTTCTAAAAAAATTCCGACAAGCAAAAATAATAATAACAATAATGATAAAAAAATAATACTAAATTATTATTTATTTTTTTTTAAAAAAAGGTAATTTATTTAATCGACATTTTGACAATCAGATTATTACTTTCTGTATGATTTTAAAAGTTCAATAAATAAAAAAACTATCAGAATTTATTATTGATTCTGAATTCTCTGCAAAATGCTAAAAAAATCATAATTGTTTGCTGTTTGAGCACGTGGGCTTATTGTATGGACTTGTCTAACGTAATTGAAAAACACTTCATTCATAACGAGAGAGAATAGCGTGATAATCATATTTACAGATGAATTATTGACTTGATGGAATTTATAATTGATCAATCATAGTTCGACTTTGACAACTGAAAAAAAGGCTGTCAATTCATTGCTTGGCGCAGTGGTACAAGTGTCAATGGATATATGTTGTTGAATCCTCCACGAGCCGTCTTAATCAATTTTAATAAAATACATCTCTCATTTCTCACACTATATTATCGAACATCCAAAAAGTTATTAGAATAAGATGTAACGTCATATGAAGCTAGTAGTCCCTGGAGGCCCATAGGATCCTAAGGTTGGTGGTGCCAATAATTTTGCCAGTTACTTTAAGACAGAAAACAACGCTATTTTACAGTTGTACTCCCTCAATGTAAACACAAATGTATTGCTTATTTACGTGTGTCACCTCAAGAATGTCTCGTATTCTTTTTGAGCTTGTAAAGAATTTCTGTTTGCCCCCCCCCCCCTAAACTAAAAAAAAAAAAACAGCTGCATGTCAGAATTGCTTCCTACGATCATGCCCTGCAATAAGCAATCATTATTAACTCGAGGGGGGGGTTAAAACAGAGAAAAACTCTCTTAGGCTTAAACTAAATACAGGAGCTTTTAAAATAACATCCCCCCAACTATGAGGCAAGTGGTAATTCGGGGGGGGGGGATGAAAATGAAATTTTGCAAACAACGACGTACAGATAACCCCCCCCCCCCATATTTTAGACCTCTTACTCTGTATGTCATGTTTCAAAACACAAAGAAAGTATCGATTTTACTTTAAACGTGTAGAATACTTTTTTTAAAAAATTTGTTTGTAATAGCATTTAGATATGAAACGTGCATTAAATGCCAGTGCTTGTCCGCTGTTTGTTAAGCACTCCATCGTATGAACCCTGGTCTAATGTTGGTCAAACCAGCGGAAACCACAGAACGACACGTGAAAGAGTTTTCCTACAACTAATAGACTCAGTCCACTATCGTTCTGATATACAATTTAGTCTGCCTTTACTAAATTAATTTACATGAAATTAATATCTTTTTCAGGCGATTAAGTCAGCTTCTGGCCAGGAAAACCCCCACTCTTGTAGCGGAGGAGATTAATATTTATCCTACTCAACAATGGCCCGGCTTCATTATTGGAATATTACAATGGGCTTTAAGGCGCTCTCCTTGCAGTTTCTAATCGCCCGATGAATTGAATTTCTAGCAAAGAAAAAACTCCGGACGAAGCGAGGACTGCAATTTTCTGTCAAATGAACAAACTAAAATGATGAAATTCATTCATAGTATAGGCCGTGGAAATCCTCGTGTCCGCTCGGCGGAAGACACGAGCAGAGGAAGGCCGTATTGACGAGAATCATGGGGGAATGGTATTCACGGTGCTTATCCAAAATATCAAATATTTCCCGGATGTTTCCTAGTATTATAATGACTCAGTCTTTTTTTTGCTAAATATCTCCGACATCTCTCCTTGAATTGCCCCAAATGCAGGCGTGTAATAAGGTAAATGTGTCCCAGAATAGTATTAGCAAATTAAAAGAATGACTTTATGTACTGGAATAAAAAAGTGAATCTATAAAAGCAGCACAAGTTATACCATAGCATTTATCAAATTTTATTATTTACAAAAACAGCTATATGTAGATTAAAATAAATATGCATCAAATCTTTGCAAAAAAGGAAAGAAATCCACATTATCAGGGCAAAGCAAAGATGGGTGAAATCATGACAAGTGTGGTGAAATTATGTATTTAAAAAGCATTCTTACAGTTTTTGCTTTATGATGTACAAAGCACTCTTTTGCGTTACTTGGTGCACACATGCAATTTAGAGATTTTGAAAACGGTCTGACAACCAAGATATGCATGAAGAATCTTTGAGCTCTCCATGTAAATCAGAAAATAAAAATGGGGGAGAAAAGAATAGTTGGTACTCGTTGTAATGGGACAATTTAAGGACGTAGGACACTAAAATATTACATTTTAGAAATTGTAAAACAGTAAGTACATACTTTATTATTACTAAAACACTAACAATTAAATGTATTTATCACGATTTTAATTATTCTTACATTTAAGTGATCCAGAGGAGTGAATCCATTGATTTGGTAATTACAAAAAAAAATCTTAGAAGTGCAAGAACATACGTACATGTACGTAATTGTCTACAAAATTACGAGTTCTTCTGAAACTACACAAACTTGATCAGAATGAGGATATAATATTCTTTGAAGGCATGTGATAAGATAACCAACCAACGCCTTGGTTGTTCGCTTTGTTGTGAGTATCGGTATGTAGTATATGGATTAAGTACTAAATACTACATAGAATTGCATTCAATATGGGCGTCTATATTGTAGGGAAGCGTATTAGGGCCGCAACAGTATCTTTTATCAATTTGTTATAACAAATTACTAATCTGTTATAACAAATTATCAATTTTATATAACAAATTAATAATTTGATATAACAAAATACTAATCTGAATTAGTAATTACAAATTAGTAATTTGTTAAAACAAATTAATAAAAGATACTGCTGCGGCTCGAATACGCTTCCGTAATACGGCTTTTCTTATACATATACAGCTATTTTTTTACAATGAATATTACAACTAATTAATACATACAGAAGATTTTAAGATTACTGAACAGTTCTTGTTGAGAAAGAAAGGTAAACTGTGATAAGATGTATAGCTTCGGAGAGAAAATTGTGCGGATGCAATAACAAACAGTCAGGGTGAATTCAGTGACCCCACACCATCTTTACTTGCTTGGGTATATAGATTTAGTTAAATGGGTAATTTAGTCGAATCAATCACAAAGATCATGGGCGCGGATCTAGAGGGGGGTCGGGGGTCCGGATTCCCCGGGAATTTTGAGAGTTAAATTTCTATGGTAAAACAACCGAAAAATGACCTTAGACTCCCCTAGAAAACACGGACACCTGAAAAAATGTGAGTTTCACGATAAGTGCGGTACTACTCTTTTGCTGGGCAAAATGATGTACATTTTGGTGAAATATGACTTAAAATAATTGTCGTTTAATTGTCTGTCCAAAAAAAAAAAAAAAAAAAAACTTCGCCAAACGTTACTGCAAAAGAGCAGTACCGCAGTTATCGTGAAATGGCTAATCTGCTAATCCCCGTTTTTCAGGCTTTGGCCGGCATTTTTTTTTTAATTTTAGTTTATTTGCTTATTTATTTTAGAAAAAGAAAAAACAAGCCCCCCCCCCCAAAAAAAGAAAAAAAATTAAAAAAAAAAAATGAAAATAATAAAGTCCTAATTCAGTTGGTGCAGACCCCCCCCCCCCCCCCCCCGGGAAAAAATCCTGGATCCGCGCATGCATATGTTTGTCGAAGATGAGATTGAGTAAGTTTGCAAAAAGTAAAACACCCTGATTGAATAAGCCTGTTCTATAAATGAACAGCTTTATCATCTTTCAACTAGATTTGACCCTTGGAACATGTGGAATAGATTAATGGAATGCTTGAGCAAATTCATGGTGTAAGAACTAAGTTTACACTATCCCGCTTCAAAGAATTATCCGATTCCGTGACGTTACTTCCTTTCAAAACAACATGGTGGTGGTGTAAGACGAAATAAGAAAATGCGTTTAGAAAAGTGTTACTTTTGTTCTTCCACCATCTACCCTGGTCACGGAATACAGTTTGTTCGTAACGATTGCAAAGTAAGTTGTTCTTTTTCTTTGAATTTAGTGTGTAAGGGTTTTCTTTTCAGTCAGAAATGATGCGACAGAATCAATCGCACACGTGTTTGCTAGTATTGCCCTAGTAGTGAATGTAAAAAAAAATTATCATCGATAGATTTTTTCGTACAAATAACTCTACTACCGAGTAGTTATCTTGTCAAAATAACCCCATTACACATCTTGTTCAAATACGTGTACTGAGTTGACTGTTGGAGAAAATATTTATAAAATGAGTTCTGTGTTCTTTGGCCGTTTGGTCAGCTGAATACTCAGTAATTTGGAAGAATATTTTATTGTTTCCACTTTACCTTTGACTAGTTTAGACATTACACTTTTCCTTCTGATTATACAGTGTATGTTTATATTTAAAAATAATATGTTTTCATTCTAGATATTTAGGTTCTGTCGGTCAAAATGTCATAAAGCATTTAAAAACAAGAGAAACCCACGAAAGGCCAAGTGGACAAAAGCTTTCAGAAAGGCTGCCGGGAAAGAGCTGGCCGTAGATCCATCACTGGAATTTGAGAAACGCAGACATGTCCCTGTCAAATACAACAGAGAACTTTGGCAGACAACATGTAAGCATGACTGTTGACTGAATATGATATATAAATAAGGTGTCGGGTGGTTACGTTCCGATTCCGTGTTCGACCCGCGTGGTTACGACCCAAGTGGTTTCGACCTACTCTAATATATATCCCTACATGTGAATACCTGAGCACAGGGGTATACACTGTGCGGTAAACAAATGGATATTCGGTAGCTGTATATTGTAGGGCTTCAGAGATGTGCGTGTCAATAGGCAGTTGTTTCCGTATGTGTAGTCAACATGCAGTGAGAAGGTTTCCTAACATTTTTTTCTATTATCGCGGAGCATAAATGTTGATAAATTTGATTTAGTAATGAATTATATTTGAACAGTTTTTCATAAAAATTATCTTCTTCCAATGTACCGTGATCACATATGCACTGTCTAAACATTAATGTTACAGTAGGTTTCTCCAAATTAAATTACATACGATAATTAACACAAATATACGTGGTCGATATAAAAAAAAATGTAGACGAAAAAAAAAAATGTGAAATTCTTGAAAGTGTTAATTAATTTCGTTCCGAAGCAATTAATTGTTAATTAATTGCTTTGGAACGAAACCACTCGGGTCGAACATGGATTCGTGTCGAAACCACGCGGGTCGAACAAGTAATCGGAACATAACCACCCGCATTCTATAAATATTATCTTCTCCCTTTTTTGTTGTACCAATTAATGTTTTATTCAAAACATGGACTAAAGAGTCGTTGTTTGAAACTCTTCAAGGTATGTTTTTACTGAAATCTAGTGTGTTTGATCTCTGTGTACTAACATGAATGATATATGACATCACTGACTTCAGGGCTAGACAAATAGCATTGCCCGACGCCCGGGACAACCAATTTTGTTTGGCGGGCAAGTTATTTGATAGGTGGTACCTGCCCGCGGACAAGTGCTTCTCCAGTTAACAAAAAATCAAATGTTGTTTGTTTTATCGCTGTTGAAATGTAATGAATCACAGTAGAGCACCTGTTTTTCGTTGCTGTTCATCACTACATCGAATACTCGGTCGGAACTCCTCTAGAATTTACCCATTTATGTGTAGTTAAAATACACACAGGACGTAAAACATAGCAGCTATCGATTCCATGTCAAAAAAGTTGAAGAGGATTTTAGACCTTTTTAGGTATTGTAAAAAATAATGTAAAAATTCATGCTGTGAGTACAAACGTGTTATACTGATATTAAAATTGGAGCTGTTGACTGGCGATCACTGAAAGTCACAATCGACATGCAGTGGTGGTACTTAATAATATTCAAAAAAAAATTTTTTTTTCTCTTTCAGTATTTTTGGGATGTTAAAGTAATACAGAGAAAAGTTTAAATTATGCGCACTGCACAAGCTAAGAAATATCCCTGGAACAAGACTTACCCCTAAACTTTTCCATGCAAAAAATTAAGTCATTTTATGTCTAGTTTGTTCCCCATGTAGTGAATCAGTTGAGAAATATTTTAATGTTTAACGATAATGCTTTAATTTTATGTTAATTAAGAAAAAGTGGGACAAGCATATTTTTTGGTAGGACAAGTAATTTTACGATGGTAACCTGTCCGAGGGCAAGTACTGAAAAATTCTATTTGTCTA